CCCCAAAACCCCAAAACCCCAAAACCCCAAAACCCCGTAAATAGTGGTTTTAGTTGAAATTTATAAAATTTGAGTTGTGTGGAGAGTGAAACTCTTGGGCTTTTATAGTGTCGTGAGTCTTGTTCCTTGAGTTACCACCTCCGGCAGAGTCTTCCATGTCGCTGGAGCTAGAGTCGCTTCAATCTAAAGATTCAAGGTCGATGATTCGTATATGGCCGTTCTTTTGGGATTCAAGAAAGAGATCACTATTTGCATGTTGAAAGCTATCCTGGAGATTCTCATGTTCAGAATGACTAATACCCTCAATGTAGTTTCCTCTTTTTGAGATGGTTTTATGATCTTCCTTATTGTTTTCTTGACTCTTCGTAGCTAAAGAGTTGGATTTTCATTTTTCTATATCAGTAGCAACTCTCCTAAATTTCATAATTGATCCTTTAGATTTGACTAAGCCAAAGCTATCATTGAGTATAAAGTTGTCAAGCGATTCATTCATATTTTCACTAATCTCCTCCATGATCTCCCTATCAGTATGAGCGTGCTGGATATGCTGGACTGAGGAATACCTTCCTAAAGACTGGGAGAAACTATTAAACGCATTATTATTCACCAGAGAGTTATCTAAATTATTTTGAACTCCTCTTCCTGCTTTCTTTCATAGCTTTGGCAATATTATCCCTAAACTTTTCTGGCTCTTATGAAGAGCTGCACTCGGGTTTATCATAGATTCCTCCTTCTTTGACCCATTTTCAAATGAACTCTCAATACTGAGATTCTTCAGAAAACCAGCAGTAACATCTTTTTGCTCCTTATTGTCAAAAATGGGTGGTAATTCCAAGGTATTTTGAGGCAAGGAATCCTTCTTCACTGAATTCTGAGACTCCAGCCTAGAATTAAGATGGTTGACTCGAATCCTCATAGTGCTTTTAACCTTCCTATACCTTCTATTTCCCAATATCTCATCATTATAAAGATGTTCATCATCTTCCAAGGTGTTTCCGGTCCGAATCCGGACCATGCCAATTGAATTCCTTCGTTCGTACTTCTTTTGGTCTGATTGGCTGTCATCATTATCCAGTAAAATTCAATCTTCGTCAAAAGATTGGGCTAAAAATCACCGAAATACACTTACAATGCATCTTTTTGACTTCTTCATAAATATCCTCTTCTTCCATAATTTTAGGCAAGGTTTTGATACGCTTTATTTGCCGGTTCTGGGAGGTAGCAAGCTCATACTCTTTCTTCAGGGCTTGCAACTCTTCATGAGCCAGCTTGATCTTACGAGCTTTAAGCATGATCTTCTCAGTGCTAGGTAATACAGCTGCTGAATCTTGTAGATCAGGATCATCTTTAGTCCGAAGGTTTGAGAGAATTTCGTTTACTTCTTCAAAGTTTCACTTTAGTAGTGTTGACTCTAAAATTTCCATGATTGCTAAAGGGAATTTGAAGATATATACCAATCCTTCGACCAGTAAGTTGTCCCAGAGTCTGATACATAATTTCATTGGGAAGGAATATAGAAATAGGGTCATAAACCACTTTTGAAGCCACACTGGAGCTGGGTATCCAATATTATCAAAATGTGCCTTCAGTTTTGGTATCTTCTTCTCAAATAATTTATCAAACTGATACACAAATTGGTGATAAAGAGGAAATTTATCTGCATAGAATCCCTCAAGACCGCCTTCGAAATTTCCGACCATATGAAAATTTTGATTTTTCTTAGTGATTGCCACAAACAACCAGAATGCTTCCTCGTCGTTCCCACCGTTAACCATAAGGAAGAACCCCATCAAAAAGTTGATGCTCTGGGTATACCCAACCTCCTTATTGTACATTGCGTATGCTCTAAGAGATCTTTTAAGGAGTTCCTGGCCTCTTCTGCCTGACTCTCCACTAAAGAAAGAGAAATCAGGGAAAGTCCTATTTAAATCAAGGTTAATTTGCCTTAATTTATCATGCTCATTCTCATCAATTTGGTCAGCTTCCTCAAGCAGCTCCTTATACAAGCCTGGAATTTGTGAATAGTTGACACCAGATATAATTTTCCACGCAAGCCATCGATATTCACAAGGGGGACCTTTTCCTATACGTTCTCAAAACTTATCAGGATCCTTCTCAAAGAAGAATTTTAGCTTATTATACACAGTTTTTGAATTGACGTGATCGTCTCTTTGAGGATTAAATCGTGCCATTCTATCCCATTTCTTCCTTCTCGAGTCATACTTATTTCAGACTTCTAGGAGTGAGAGTCTCATAAAGCTCCTTATTTAAGAAAATTAATCCCGACCTCACTCTCAGCTTGCTGAAGGCCAATAGTAATAATTCTAGAAGGCACACTTGCTTCTAAGTTACTCTGATTTTCCAAATTCAAATTTACAGAAGAGTTTATGCTACGAGAGACGATCCCAGAGGTCCGTCTGGGAATGTTCGTGCCTCGAATGACTGAACTCTGGGGCCGCTTGCTTGATTTCTTCCGGCCTCTTCGGAGATTACCTCATGCTCCACCCATATTGTGTAATATAATATATAATTAAAGGAGGAATTACAGGGGTTTTGGGGTTTTGGGGTTTTGGGGTTTTGGGGTTTTGGGGTTTTGGGG